CTGTTCATTCTGGGCTTGCTGTGCTCCATGTCAGATGCTAAACACTTCACATCACATTCAATCGTCATAACATCCATTTGAGGTATTGTTATTATCATCTCTGTTTTACAGATCAGAAGACTGGAGCACAGTGTGGTTAAATAAATTACCCCAGGTCACAAATCTAGTGAGAAAAGTGTGTATTCGCATCCCGGCTGTCTAATATTCCAATGACTTCACTATTAACTACTGCTGCTAACTATGACCTTGCTATTAACTGTTACAATTTAGTAAGAAGTAGGATTCAAATCCTACTTAGTTACTATCTGTGTGACATTGGGCAAGTCACTTAAAATCCATAAGCCACCTATATAATAATGATAATAGCATTTACCTTGTAGAATTGTTGTGAGTTAATATTTATAAAATGCTCAGAAAAGAGCTTGGCACATATTATGCACTAACTCTTTATTTAATAACCATAATAGTTAAGGAGCTATATTTTCTATTGATTGATACATTTTTTATTGACAATTACTTGCAGAAATTCTTGAAAAATTTTGGATAACTTTTATGTTTAAAGTTAGATTATAAATTAAGTTGCTACTTACCACTGATGGGAGCATATGTAGATAACACTAAAGTATAATCTAGATTTCCTTTCTGGGCATGATAAAAGTCCAATATCTCCATTTATTCATTTGTTCGCCCATATGCCCAGGGGACACTTGGTAAATAAATCCCTGCTCTGGAGGGGCGTTCAACCTAGAGATGACTACATTGTCTAATATAGCGTAGAAAGAGAGTGTGAGAAAGTTGTAGGTTATATGACCAGACCTGTGCTCGTGTTTACTGGGTGCACTGAGCTAGGCACTGGGACTGTCCAGGTAAACGAGACCCCAGCCGCTAGCAAGTGTCCAGTGGGAAGACATCCTCAGCAGATTCTTTGCTGTCAATTTCCTACATTATATCAGGGATCTTGTTAGAGGAACATAGGAGAGAGGCACTTACACCCAACCCAGAGCTGGCAGGATAACAGACTTGTGGACGTTGTCAACCAATTCTTGTGTTAAAAATACAAGAAGACAGAAATTAAACTGCATTAGACGGGGCCGGTGCCGTGGCTCACATGGTTGGTCCTCCGCCTGCGGCGCCAGCATCCCATATGGGCGCTGGGTTCTGGTCCCAGAACCCAGTCCAGCTCTCTGCTGTGGCCTGGGAGGACAGTGGAGGATGGCCCAGGTGCTTGGGCTCCTGCACCTGCATGGGAGACCAGGAGGAGGCGCTTGGATCTGGCTTCAGATCGGTGTAGCGCACCTGCAGTTGCGGCCATTTGGAGAGTGAACCAAAGAAAGGGAGACCTTTCTTTATGTCTTTCTTTCTGTCTCTCTCTCTAACTCTGCCTGTCAGATTTAAAAAAAAAAAAAAAAAAAAAAAAAAAAAAAACACTGCCTTAGGCAATACAGAGAAAGAGTTCCCCCAGAAAGTTGAAGCACCAAGAATCAGTGTGGCACAGTGGGGAACCGCAACTACCTAGCAATGCTGGCACCTAAAGCAAAAGGGAGGGAGAAGGGAAGGTGGGCATGAGGAAGGGGTGAAGAGTGTGTGTGATCAACTGATGGGGCCAAGCACTGATGGAAACCCCCAGCGAGGCAGCTGCATGAAGAGTGAGCCATCCTTAAGCTTCTTTCTACCGAAGTCCAAACAAAAAGAGTATCATTTTCCTATTGAGAGTCTCAGAACCAGGGCTATGGTAAATCCTTACGAGGACTATTGTAAAGAACACCATGTCTCCTTTCTGTGGCTGGATTGCCTATTTCCCTACCTCCGTCCTCCACAGCAGACCAAACATCAGGATGGACTCTGGGGTCTAGACGGATATTTAGACTGAAAATTGCATCTAGTCCATGGCTTGAAAAGACCGATCAGCAAATCCTTCCGGCACTTAAAAGTTTTTTATTCCTGGACTTAAGAACTCAGGGTAGGGTAAACCGCACTCTCTGGATGGCCTCTGTAAAGTTGGCCATGGCGGAATTTCAGCAAAAAGTTGGGAAACTGGAGAGATGAGCGCTTTCTCCCTCTCTCTCTGTTACTACAGACACTGGACAACTCACCAGTGACTGACATGTCGCCAGGTGGATGGCGATGTGATTGCTCATCAAGGCAGCGATCACTCCCTAGCATCTTCATGCCAGGCACAGGGCCCTCTGGCTGCGGCGGGGCTTGCTCCCTGGATGGAGAAAACACGGAAGGAAGGGATGCCAGGAAACAGGCAGGCCCAGCAGTTCTGGGTCAGAAGTTGGCTGGGGAACGGCCTGACTGCCAAGTAACTTGCAGTGATGTCAGAGCCCAGCACCACCAGCAAACACCAGCCAGCCAGCCAACAAAAGGCTCAACAACAGAGACATCGCAGGGCTGTGTTGCCAAAACTGTTCTTTCCGCCCCCTACCCTTTTTCTTCTAAGAGGAAGACCGGCAGGAAGAGGGTTTATATTTGAAGAGCCCTCCCCTCCCCCGGCCCCTTCTTTTTGGTCACAAAGTGCGAATGAGTGAGGAAACAGTTCTGTGGATGAGTCGGGTAGCAGTTTTTTTTTTGGGGGGGGTGACCTTTTTTGAGTTCCTTTCCAAAGCTGGAGGAGGAAGTTTGAGAAACAACACAGAACAGGGTATTTTCCCTAAACATCGGCATGTAACTTGGGGGGGGGGGGGGCAGGGACCATGGAGGGAACGAAGACCTTTTTCTGTGTCCTCTCGGCTCTCACCGTGATTAACCATACTCAAGTGAAAATTAAAAGTTTGGCAAAAAAAAAATTTCTTTTTCTTTAAACGGAGCATCGTGGTTCATCCCAGCCATTTAGAGCCCTCAGGAATTCATACTTCCACTGGAAATTAATAAAGCATTCGTGGAAATGAAGTTTTGGATTAAATCCTTCTTGTTTAGGAATATATGACTTTTTTCCCCCCTTTCATTTTTGACAGTCAATTTTAAATGATGTCACTTCAAGGACATTTTCATTTCTCCCACAACGTATTACACGAAACACTTGCCTGTAAAACCGGCTCATTAGCCTGCAAAATTATACTGTACTGAATGGCTTTCATTCAACGGAGAAATGGGATTTTTAGGAGGCAATTTCTGTATTTTATAAAGATAAAGCAATGTTTGATTGCTTCTCCCCAGCTGTTTTGCTTAGCGGTTATAAAGAGAAATTGTGGGGAGGGGGGGAAGGTAAAGCGGGGGCGGGCTGCTAAGGATGTGCTTCAAAAAAAAATAATAAATCTCACACCAGAAAACTAAGGCAGAACTTCCCGGAACGGCTGCGCCCGCAGCTCCACCGGGCTGCAATGGTCGTCCTCTGGTGACTGGAGGAAAGCTCTGAGAAGCGAGGCGAGGAGGACCGAGGGGGAGAAGCGCTAAGGCTGCTTGGCAGGCTGCAGCGGCCGCCGCGAGCTGGAAGACTGAGGCGCGGCGCGGCGCTGGAAGGAGCAGCTCCTCCGAGGTGGGGAGGGAGGGAGGGCGCGCAGCGGAGCCACACCGAGAGGAGGGACGCGGAGGCCACCGAGGGGTCAGCGGGGCCGCGGCGCCAGGGTGGGGGCCTCCAGGCGGCGCTGGCCGCGGCGCTGGGGCGAGGGCGAGCGCGCCGTGCCGCCCGCGCCTCCTGCCGTCGGCTCCCGGGGGTGGGACCCGCGCCGGGAGCCGCTGAGTGCGTGGAGGGAACCCGGCGCGGCTCGCCTGATGGATTGACTTGGAGATGGATCGAATTACACCATTTGCTGTGCAGCGGTTTGTTTTGCTCCTGCTCCGTCCCGCCGCCGCCGCAGCAGCCGCTGCAAGACCGGGTGGTGGCGAGTTTCAGGATTCTGTCGAGGACGCCGACACCTAAGGAGACCGAGGGATTTCTTTTCTGCATTTTCGCCTTTATTTGCTTTTTCCTCCCGGAGCGTGACAAGCTTTTTATTATCATTATTTTATTTTGTAGCAGCCACCCCCCCCCATGAGGTAAGACAGTCTTTTACAAATTTGCTGATGTTCCGCGAGCGTGATGGGGTGGGACCTAGAACCTCGGAGAGTCAGCACGCAGCCCCCCACCCCCGCCGGTGTGTGTGCACGCGCGTGTGTGCGTTGTCACTAAGGAGCCGATTGCTTTTCCAAGCCGCCCTCCGGCCAGCAGAGCTAGGGACGCGCACGGGGGTCTAGCGGAGCCGTCAAAACTGGCAGCGCCTGGGGGAGGGGCCCGCGGACGCCCAAGACCTCCCCCATCGTACGCCCCCTTCCAAGAAGGAGGTGGAACAGCCGAGGGGTGAGGACGGCGAGAAAAAGTTTCTCGCTAGCCAGGGCCAGCCCGGCGCTCGCTCGCACACTGTCAGGGGCTGTCGGGGCCGCCTCGGGTTCCTGGCCCCCGCGCTCCCAGCTCGCGGCTCAGAGCCAGGCCGAGGCCGAAGGAGCCGGCTGCAGGCTCGGCCCTGGATCGGACGCCTGGATCGCCTGGGTCCGGTCGGAGCAGCAACCCCACGGGCGCCGCTACCTGTCCGAGAGCTGCGGGGTGGGACCGCTGGCGAGGGGCGGGGGCTCGGTGACTTGGCCGCCTCCCCACCCACGCCCCCCTGGCTCCGGCTCTCGCTCCTGCCCTGAGGGCTGGGTCGCTGCCCACCACTCCTCTCCTGCTGCTGGCCCAGCGCGCGCCCGGGGAAGGCGAGCAGGCTCCGGGGTCCGGGGCTGCCCACCCCACCGCCCACCCGGCCCCCCGGGCTTCTGCTCCTGGCCACTTGTCTCCGGCAACTTTCCGTGCTTTGTTCTCGGCTGGAAATGCTTCGCGGAAGCGCCTCGGTCGGGGTCTCCGCCAGGAGGCAAGAGCTCGGCGCAGAGATGGGTTGCGTTCTCGTCTGCCCATCAATTATGGATGGAAACAAATAAGGAAGAGTCAATTTTGCATGAGCCCCTGCTCCGGCGGCGAGAGGCGTCGGCTGCGCTGGCGGGGGCATGGCGAGCAGGAAGGTAGGGAAACTTTCACAGCGGCGCAGAAACCCAGACGTAGCCCGCCTCGGGTCCCCCAGGAAGGGCTTAGAGCCCCCTCTTCCGTGTGGGACCCTGGGCTTGGAAGCAAAGGGCACCAGGGTTTGGAGGTGTGCACGAGGACTGGGTTTGAAAAATCGCTGCTCAGTTGGCTCTCGGGACCCTTGCTGTCAGGTGCTTGTTTTTAGGAGCTGAACTTGTAAAAAGCCGAATGCAGGGGAGCTAGGTATGTGGATTCCAGGACCGGCGTGAATCAGGGGTACCGCCGGTTTCAGGGGAGCAGTGAGTGTAGCATCCCAGCCCCTCGCCGCTCGGAGCTGGCACATTTTCCCACAGAAAGGACGGTAGATCTTTATTTTAAATGCATAGGCTTTGTAAACAGACATTGGACCTGTGTCTGCCACTGCATCGCCTGCTTTCCCAAAAATAGCCCCACTGTTTCCGATGACTTGGAGGGACAGTTTCTCCCCAAAACTTCTGGCTAGGAAAAATTTTGGATCTTCAGTAAAGCGTACGGGTGCTTTGCAAGGTTGCTGTTCCCACCGCTTAGTATTTGGGCAATCGAGTGGACTATTTTGTTTATTTCAAGAGTGAAGTCCTAGGAAGATGGTTTCACATTTTTTTTTTTTTTCTAAACTGGTTGGGTCTGTGTCCCTGAGAACAGGAGAAAGAGTTGTTGGAGGCAAATTTTCAAGGTTTCTTCCAGGCAGTATTGAGAAATCTTATCTCAGACAGCTGCGGGGGAGGATTTTACTATCCTTTTGGTGGTTGAAAACAATAGGTTTTGGTGGTGGTTTATTCCTGCTGTTTAAAAAGCCCTCTCGCTCTCTTAGGTATCTAACTCAGGAAATTAAGTTGTGTGTAGTCAGGTTTAATGTAGTGAGTGACAGGCAAATTCTGTCAAGCTGGCAGTTATTACACAAACATTTACTCTGGCTTAGATAAATAAAAATTGCCAGATAAGCTCTGAGATTTGGGTCTCTATTGCCATGAACCTAAACATCTTGAGATAAATACACTGTAGCTCAGCCATCGTTGAGTTGTTTTTTGATAGTTAGTGTCTGAGCTTTTATTTGGATGTCTAGAACATGCTCTCGGAAAGATGGTTAAATAGATTACCCGAAGATTTCCAAAATGTGTGGTTTTCTTCCATTGGCACATTTAGATAGATTAACAACCAGCTATGGTTTCTTACTGGATCTTACAGAATGTTGTTACCTGACCTCATGTGTCTACTGGGCGTGTTACTATAGAGAACCTCTTATATATATATATTTTTTTTTTTGAGAAACCTTTCTACGATACAGGAAAGTATACCAGGAATATTGTGACTTCCCCATCACCAGCCAGCTGGTTAACTTGAGTTTGATTTAGATTTGTGGGCATTCTGCCTTTTTTTTTTTTCTGGTGCCCTCTAATAGCACCATCTGGTCATGTCTCCCCTGGTTTGATGGATTTGAAAGATGGCTGTGACGTAAGCCTGTTCGTCCGCAGAGTGAGGGCAACTTGGGAATCCAGAGGACTTCAGTTCACTTGCTTGCTGTATGTGCAGGAAGGCTCTGTCCAGTAACTGTGCCTGGGGTAAGTGGCTCCCTAAATCATACGGGATAGCTCCTATCCCCTGAGAGGCCATGGACAAGTAAACAAAAATTAGAACTGTGATTCACAAAGATGCCCATAATTGTTAAGGACTTATTGACTGGAGAAGTTTTCACTTCTTGTTGCTCCATCCTAATGACCCATGGTAATTAGCTTAGTCATTGTTCTTGCATGTGAGTTTCACTAAGATACAAAGAGTGAAAAATGCATCTGAAATAGGGTCATTTTTCACTCTTCTGATATATTTTCTGCAGAGTTAAGAGCCTGGCCGAATGCCTAGCCATTATTAGTGTAACCATAGGAGGTGAACTCCTTCCTTAGCATATTACAAGATAAAATATTATCTTTTATTTCGATTAATACACTTTCAGCCTGCACATTGTAGATTCATTTCTTGAGGAAGCAAGAGACCATTGGCATAGGCCAGTCAGTCTTGGTTGGTTACATGTCCTTTCGCCAGGAGTTGTCTTAGCCAGTGTTCCAACCCTGTGTGGGCCAGTCATGTTTCTGTATGTCCAACTTGAGCAAGAATTCAAGAATTAGAAGAAAAAAAAAAGAATAATGAAAGGGATCATTTGACAAGAAATGTAAATATGCACCTTTCTTTTGAAGCCTGTTGTTTTATCCTATAGAGATTTTAAAGCAATATGGTCCACACCAAATATTTACAGAGATTCAGCCTTCTTGCCTTTGACATAAATGAATGATGCAGTATACTATCAGGAGAATTCACGGACTGAATGTGTCATTAGAGTGGGAGATCTCACTTTCTCTGACTTATGTGATTGGAGACAGCGTTCAAATCCACCAAAGCCTGTGTCTTAGGTTGCTGCTTATTTTGTGAACAGCTGCCAACTTCCAGTTGGGGAAAAAAGTGTATTTTGATTTCTTCCCATGCCACATGAAGAGAACAAAAGTCGCAAAGCTCTGGGCAGCATACCCTGGCACTTTTTTGTTGAAGTGGCTGTACTTGCACGGAGGACTGATAATTGAAGCTGTCTCTATTTTTCCCAAGAAAACTACTAATCTTTTACTTTGAAAAAACAACCATTTACATTGCCAAGGGCGATCAAATCAGTGGTCCACCCAGATACCACATGAGGTGTACTTATTTCTCAAACTTCTTTCCTATTAGGCTTTTGTTAACTCATCCAGATTAGCATTTTAACAACCCTGAAGTGAACTCCTGCCATTCTCTCTACTTGGACACAGTATGTAGATCATCCATCATCCTGTCCTTGGCTACAACAGGCTGCTGGCTCCATCACCATTTGGAGCTACACAGAACCCATCCGACTGTGAACAGCACAGCTGGCTACAGCAATTTTTTCTTCCACACCACTGGCAGCATTGTCTGGCTGTGGTAACTAAAGTTAACACCCAGAACAGGAAGTTTCCGTTGTTTTGCAACCTGTGCCAGGCCCCCTCATCCAGGTCTGGGGGCACCCCTGCCAAAAGACCTTGCCGAATTGCTGTGGTATGTTCCAGATAAAAGGGGGCTTGCCCCAACCTTAAGTGACCGCAAGAAAGACTCACTATGCTTGGTAAGTTTAAACTGCTAGAGTTACAGAATTAGAAGGAGCCTGTCATTCAGGCCCCATTCATCCTATACTTTGAGAATGTATTCTATTTGAAAAGGTACAGAAAGAAATGAAGCAGCCTTTAGCTTGAGATCACAAATGACTGAAGAGAGAAAAAGACCCAGTCCTTGGGTGAACTGAGTTTCTTACTCCTTCATCTTTTCACAAACGACATGGATTGTACCTATTCCTAATTGTGGGTTCTGTGTCTCATAGTACTCAATGTTTTCTATCCCATTTGTTGTGTTGTTTTCTTCTTTTGTCCCGGTAAGATATCCATTACAGTAGTGATTACTTGTCAAGCAATCATAACATGAATTAGATGCATGCAGCTTATAGATGATGTAGCCAAGCTTTGTTGTTTGTTTAATTCTGGCTTTAGAGTTTGCTGTGTACAACAGAAATGGCCTGGTGTTTTGGTGTGAGTTAGGTGGTAGTCTCTGTCCTCTGCACACCAGAAAACAACGAGGGGGAGGAGGTGGAGAAGGGTGATGAAGATGATGATGGGATGAAGGGGAGAGTGAAGAGATGATGATGGAGGAGGAAGTGAGGGAGGATGAGGAGAGTGATGATGGTGGAGGAGGAAGAGGAGAAAATAGTACCAATCAATATAGAACACTGAATGTTCATGTGCTTATTAAATTCCAGACACCATACTAGGATTTTTATATCTTGATTATGTCATGAAGAAAAACCCACAAACAACTGCATGAAGTGGGCACTATGATTTTGCTTCTTTATGAAAGAAGAAACAGAGGGACTGGGAAAGTGTAGTAACTTTCTTAGATCACGTGACGGAGTTAGGATTTGAACTCGGGTCTTGTAATATCTCATCCCACTTTTTCATCACAGCACTGAAGTGCTTCCAAGAACATAGACCGCCCTGAAACGTTTTGTCTCCTTAACGTTTCTTACACTTGATTCTCAATAAAACAGTCATCTTTAGGGGAAAAACTATACTGAATGAAATAATATGCTCAGTATGGGTATACTCTTAAATCATAACCTTTTTTCCCTCACCCTAAATCATGTTGTTACATTCCTCTTCCATTTTTATTTCTTTGGCCAAATAATTATGACATACTCTTCTTCCCAAGTGTCCTAGAGCAGTAGCTTCTCCTATCATTTTTTTTCCATGTGAGACTTTTCTGTCCACGATTATAGTGGCACAGGACAAATGGCAAGATCCATCACTCTCCACCCAAAAGTGCTTCTGTGTCTGGTTGCCGTTGATATTCATTTCCCTGATCTTGGCAGGTGAAGATCCATTATGTATCTTGGTCCCATTTCCCAGGAGTATTTATGGGCCCCATCAGCAAAGACAGTGAGAGCTGCAGCTGTTCCAGCATTAGCGGCTCCAGGATGGGAACTATATTATTAAAGTTGACTGTGTATCACATGAACCATGCTTTTTTTCTTGGTTGTGATTGTGGGAGAATCCTTTTGTCTATAGGAATCAGACCATCATCGAGAAGTTGTCACCAATGCATTGGCAATTTTTTTTTCTGGTTTGTTATTCTTTTCATTCAGGATTGCTGTGGGAGGGGGGAAACCCAAATGTATGCATTCCCACTACACATAATGCTGAGATGTAAGGTTTTCAACATATATTTATGGGGAAGGAAATATGGGTTTTAAAAGTTCAATATGTTGGTACATATAATAAAGCCTTAGGAAGATCTACAATTACTTAGCCTATTGTTGGAGTCTGTACTTAAAAATAAAGTTAGAAGTTTCTACCCAGTCAGGGAACTGGCACATAAGAACTGGTGCAGATGAAGCTCTTTGAGAAAAATCACACTTTCTTTCATGTCCCAGGAATAGGCTCTCTGCAAACCAGGGGCTTAGACTCTTATCTACCTTGGCCTACAACTCACTTGTTATTAGAAAGGTCTTTGGAAGCTTGCTTGGTCTGCAGTCTACTGTCTGCTATATTTGTCACCCAATCTCCAGACCTCCGCTGGGTAATAGTTGAATCAAATAAAGATATTATTAAAGCTACAGAAGAAGAAGAGGAGGCAGGAGAAAGAACAATGCAGGGTGCAGTTGCTTCTGTTTGTGCCACTGCTGGAGACATTGAAGAGGGGGCTTAAGGAGGAACATGACACAGTTCTGGAGCCCAAAGTTTTCGCGGAGTGCCACTGTAGAGACAAGGTAAACAAATTGCTGAAGTAAAGTGGTATGTGTTTTCGGTGCCAGAAAAGATAGACACAGACCCATGGCAGTTGAGTGGAGTGAGAGGTTATTTCTGGCTAGGGTGGTCAGGGAAGACTTTGTGGAGCCACTGGTATTTGAGCTGATCCTTGAACTAGGTAGGATTTGGACAGGTGGACAGTGCGGGTGGGTGGAGGAGGTGTTGAGAGGGAGGACATTCCAGGCATACAGAACAGCCTGGGCCAAAGCCCTGGGGTAGGGTGGGGCAGAGTAGAAGTCTAGATCATTTCTCCATGTTTCAGTCCTTACCTCCAACAGCCTCGCGCTGCAGGTGTGAAAAGACAGTTTGTCGTGCAGTCCTCAGATGTCTACTGGGTGTCTCTGGTCTACTGTACTTAACCATTCAGCAGGTGGCCCCACAGCTTAAGCCATCAGAATGAATGGGATCTATCTTGTGGCAATTCAGTAGGTGGCTCCGTGATCAGAACTAAAACCCCCACATCAGCTGCCAGCTGGTTCAGTGGCACACGTGAGCATCGCAGTGGGTAACGTGCTTTGCCTCAAATTATCCAGCAAGATGGCTCTCCTCACAGAGGTGTTCAGCAGCACCAAAGAAGAGGTTGTTGTTTCATCAGCTTCGTCTTTTAGTTAAAACTTGAAAACTCTACACATACAAATGAGTATATTGTATATGTACATGGGGATTGAGGAGGGGAGTAAAGGAGATGTGGATCTAAGAGTAGAAACATTGAAACCATGATAACCATATACTGCAGGCCCCATGAGGCTGTATTGCTTCTTCACTGTAGGTTAGCAAAGGGAATGACACATATTAACAAATATTTTAATAAGTGTATTGAGTTGGACTTTGTATTAAATTGCAGAGAGAGCCGGTTGTGGCTGGCAAACTGCGCAAGGAGTAGGGCTGGAGCTATGACAATTGTGTCCTTATAGAGAAAGGGGAAATGACTTGGAAAGCTCTAAGTACTTCCTCTTGGAAAACCTCATCCCTGAGGGTCCCTGGGGATTCAGCATCCTTTGTGGGTCTGAATTGTCAGGATAAATCTTTCTGCCATCAGCAACTCCCCATGTCCCCCACTTTCCCAATTCCTTTCCCGCCCTTCTTCCCACCATGCCCAATCCCCATCCCCAAGTGAAGCTGTTAGGGCACTGGAGTCTCCCAGCCATCAGTAAGCCAGAAGTTCTGTGTCGTGTAAGTAGGCTGATTAGAAAACATAAGGAACAATA